CGTGACCTGTGGGTGTTTATTGCTGCACTGCCCCAAAGCCGCTTAGGTCATGGGGCCGGAGCCTCTGCCCCTGCTTGTATTGTCCCTTCCTGATGGCGAAAGGCCTGCAGCACATCCATCTCTTCGTTCCCTGTCCCTTATGCATAAACCATACTTGTTGGGATAGTGTCAGCCACCGTCACCCTCAGCGGGGACTGTGTCTCTGTGGTGACCCCACGGGTACTGCTGTCTTGCATCAGAAGAAACTCTGATGCCTCCTTATCCTTCCTCCCAGAGACAACCAACCTGGCAGGGGTGCGTCACATCCTGCTGGTGCTCTCCGGGAAGGGCGGCGTTGGGAAGAGCACCATCTCCACCCAGCTGGCTCTGGCGCTGCGGCATTCCGGGAGGAGGGTGAGTGAGGGGCTGTGGGGTGCTGAGCTCTGTCTGACCCTTCCCAACCTCCACCTGGGCTGTGTTTGCTCATCCTTTGTATGTCCTGTGGGGGCAGCGAATGAAAACGCTGTTTGTGACTACAATTCAGGTGAATCCTTTTCTCTGTGTTCACTTAATCCGACACAGGTTCATTCCCTTCTCATCCAGGAGGCTAAGATCACCCCAAACTTGCTGGGTTTTGGTGCTGAGAAATGATTTTGCTGCTCTGTGGTGTAACACACACTCCCTTTGCAAAGTAAAGAGGGGGAGCTGGAGGACAGTGTTAAGATGGGGACAAAAGGGGATTCTGTACTGGCATGAGGCAGGTGGAATTCCCTGATGATTTCTTTTAAAGGCTCTCTGCAGCACTTGGCTCAAGTTAGGTGTCTGGCATAAAGTGCCTGGAAATACCTGGGAGATGCTCCTCAGAGGGAAGGGGACCAGGAGGATGGTTGAACTTTAAAGCAGCAGTTTCAAATCTGGCTGCTGAGCTGCTGAAGTAAAGTGTTGTGAGCAGCTGAAACCCAGATGCTGTCTCCCCCTACCCTGGGAAGGAGCATGGGTCGGGGCTGCCACCAGGCTTATCCCAGGCTGAAGAGCTCTGCGTCCTCTCCTGCTGCAGGTGGGGATCCTGGACGTGGACCTGTGTGGCCCCAGCATACCCCGCATGCTCCGGGTGCAGGACAGTGATGTGCACCAGTGCGACAGTGGCTGGGTCCCGGTCTATGTGGACCAGGACAAGAGCATCTCACTCATGTCCATTGGCTTCCTGCTGGAGAAGCCGGATGATGCCGTGGTGTGGAGAGGACCCAAGAAGAATGGTACAGTTGGGTTTTGCTGGTGGTGCCCACTTCCCAGTGCTAGGAAGTGTCCACCTTCCTGGAGGTGGGGCTGGATCCTGCTGGAGGCAGGTCATGCCTTGGAGGAGCAAGGCTCCTGTTCTGCAGGAATGGGTTCAGATTGCTTAGATGGGGAGAGAGCAGCACGTGTTGTGCTGACAGATAGCTCTGCTGTCTCTGCCTAGGCCCTTGTCACCCTGGGTGTCTCCCAATCCCTGTCCTGCTGGGTCCACGGCTCCCACAGCACCCGCTGAGACCTGTTGGGGTTTTTTTTCCTGCCTCTTTTATTTCCATAGCTTTGATCAAACAATTTGTTGCTGACGTGGCCTGGGGGGACCTGGACTTCCTCATCGTGGACACGCCGCCGGGCACGTCTGATGAGCACATCTCCACAGTGGAGGCCCTGCGGCCTCACAAGCTGCTCGGAGCAGTCCTGGTCACAACGCCCCAGGTAGGGCAGCTGCCTGGGCCTGAATGGGAGCTCCTGGGCAGGCTTCTGCCTCCAGACATGGTTGGAGGGGAGAAACACGCACCTGACATGAGTGTTGGCACCATCCTGCATGTGGCTGCTTGTTCTACACATCCACCTTTCTTGTGATGCATGCTTGCTCCAGACCCCTGGACAGACAGGCACCCCTAACCCCTGCTGGTGTCCCCTGCAGGCTGTGTCTGTGGGAGATGTGAGGCGGGAGCTGACGTTCTGCAAGAAGACAGGCTTAAGAGTTCTTGGTATTGTGGAGAACATGAGCGGCTTCGTGTGCCCACACTGCTCGGTGAGTTTATCATGCCCTCGGGGCTGTTGTGGGGTCTCAGTTGTGATGTGGTGGTGTAAGATGTGGTGCCTGGGCTGGAAAACATGCAAATGCTGTGAGAGTGATGAAAGAAGATGAGGAGCTGCTGTGTGTCAGCTTTGGAAGAAGCCACTGGCTCTGCTTTCCAAATGGAAAAGTGCCCTGAGGCTGGAATGCAGAAGGGAGCTGGTTCTCCTCACATGCAGGCAGCACCTGCAGAGTGCTCTGGAGTTTGTGACTCACTGCTCTGCTCTTCCTCCTTCAGGAGTGCACAAACATCTTTTCCAAAGGAGGAGGTGAGGAGCTGGCCAAGCACGCTGGGGTTCCCTTCCTGGGTGAGTGGCCTCTTAAGCAGAGCTCTCTGTGGTCAGACGTGGTGTCTGTGTGGTGCTGTGGGAGCAGAAATGCAGGTTGTGGGTGGGCAGATGAGGGCTGGGCAGGCTGGGCTCTGTCCCTGTGAGCCCTGGCACCCTCTCAGAGGTGAGCTGTGGTTCTTGCTTTGCTGCTTTTGTCATCCAGACTGCTCTGAGTGGCCCTGCTGGGGCAGAGGAGGTGATGGTGGGCAGCCTGCTCTGATGGATTAAGCAAGCCTGGAGCTGCACAAGAGCCATCCTGAAATGCCCTGGAGCCTCTCTGAGAAATGGGGCTGAGGGCTGTGGATTGGGGTGGAGGGAGAATATCTCTCATGAAGCACTGTGGTGCAGGGGGGTCTTGCACACAGAGGAAGCTGCTGCAGGTGAGAAGCTGCTCCTGGAGAGCTCGGTGAGAGTAGTGGCTGCTCTTTCCAACCACTGCTCCTGGAGATGGTTCCACCAGGGTGTTTCTTTAATCTTGACTCCAGGCCTTTGCCTTACAGTGAGCAAGCAGTCACTCTCCCCATTCCTTCTATCCCACAGGCTGTGTTCCTCTGGACCCCCAACTCAGCCAGAGCTTGGAAGAAGGCAGAGACTTCATCCAAGACTTTCCCAAGAGCCCTGCCTTCCCTGCCTTGGCTCACATTGCTCAGCAGATCTTGGATGGTACGTCACAGAAGAGCCCCTGAGGACAGTGTGGGGCTGGACTCGCTGGCTGAGCCCCTGGCAGCACCACCAGCAGCCCATGGTGGTGGGACAGAGGCTGTGGAAGCTGTTTATCTATGAAGTGTCCCAGTGGGAGGTAAGAGAGGGAGCACAGCATCAATGCCACTCACAGCAATCCAAAAAGGGAAGTTCTGCTCCATCCCCCTGGATCCAAGGAGCCCCTGCACAGGCAGCAGCCTGCTTCCTGCCTTCTTGACGTGGCGGTGCTCTGCCCAGATGCTACAGTTGTTTCTGGTGCCTTCCTCAGCAGCCAGCCCTTGTGCAGGAGCTCGGGGAGTTCTAGTTTGTGTCCCCAGTGTTCTATATGCTGTGGTGCTTCTGGCCTTTGCCTGGTACAGCTACAAAGACCATCAGTTTGTTCTTCACTCACTGAACCCAGCTGGCACCAATCATCTGGATCATGGCTCCATGTGCTGCTGCCTTCTACTGCTTTTCCTGCATGATGGATTATATGGTACTCAGTTCAGTGGCTAGATGCTCCCATGTGGACTCGAGCCAGGCCACCTTGTGTGAAGTCTCAGCTCACTGGTTCCTGATGGGCCAGTGGGGACACAGCACATGCTTCACATGAGAAAAGGTCTTTAAGAGATCTGCCACCCTCCTGAGTGCTGAGTTCCTGCTGGAAATGAGGCCTTCTGGGGTTGCTGGGAGTTATCATCACTCAGGAATATTTGTAAAGGTTCCAGGCAGTAAATACTTTTCTTGAATTCCAAGTCTGTGACTTAAGTTCTTTTTCCATGGCTTCAGGCCTCATGGTAGCTCTGAGTCTTGGAGTTATGAGCACTGTGTGTACATCCATGTCTTTCCTGCTCTGCCCTGGTTTCCTTCCTGGTGTTCAGGTAAATCTTTCCTCCTTTCATCCCAGCTTCAAGATCCAGTTGGTCCTTTGTCTTGCCGGAAGCTGGCCTGGGCAGTCCTTTGTAGAATGTGCTGCCATGGCTGTTCTCCACATCTCTGCCACGCGTGGGGCTCCTCCAGGTCCCCACATGGCTTCTGCTTCGTTGCTCTGTCTGTTACTCTCTTGGATCTCCTTCCATGGCTCTTCTGGGACCTGCCTCCTCTTGCAGGCTTGAGTTGAGCTGGTGAAGCAGACAAAGGTGGTGTCCTTGCCTCTTACCTACCTCCCTCCCTCCCAAGCCTGTGCCCGTGCCTTCACAGTGCTGTTTCAGAGAGATGGGGGGAATCTGGGGTTTGCAATACCAAACGGCATTGTAGCTGACAGTGACGCTTGGAAGTGAGCAGGAGGAGCATCTGTCCCTGCTCCTGCTGTGCCCACAGCAGGAACTCACCTGACCAGGTTTTCCCATGTGCTGCTGCATGGCCAAAGGTCAGTTATCTGGGATTTGGAGCACCGGGAGCGGAGCCTGCCAGGGCTGTTGGCTGCTGTGGGGTGGCCAGGCACCTCTCCTCCCACGCTGGGCATGCGTCACCCACCTGGAGCTTGCAGGCACCCTCTTGCAAGCTCCTTCAGCACCCTGGGGACGCTGAGCTCCTTGCCCTGCAGCTGCAAGCCCCAGGGGGCTCCGATAAGAAACCGTGGCCAGGTGCAGCATGTGCTTTGGAAAGAACATACTTACAAGATCGGTTGCAATAGCTCCAAAGGTTTATTTGTCTGCTACAGTTTATCAGGTGACGTGTGTGGCTTTCTGCACCCTGCCTACACCTGCTAGTGCAAAGAATGACCAAAGCAGGTCTGCCCCTTCCTCACCAGGGGGCTTTGAGGATTTCTTAGCTCCTTCATGGCAGGAGGATGCTTTCCTTTGTCCCACTGCAGAGTCCCAGCCCCAGCAGCGCTGCCCCTCACTGTGGGGAGGGCTCCAGGCTGGGGGTGCAGCTTTCCCCCATCCCTCCAACCCCCACCCCTCCAAGCCTCTGGGATGGGGGAGGCTCCCATTGGGAGCAACCTCCCTGACCCAGGGGCTGCTGTTTAAATAGTAAAGGCCTGAACCATTTCAGTTTGAAGCCTGGGGAGCAAGTGCTCACCCAGCATCGCCCGGGCAACGTCAAGGTGAGGTGGTGGCAAAGGTGGGCTGAGCTGGCGTGGCCACAGAACCAGAGGTCCTGCTGCTCGCCCCGGGGC